TATCCCAAAATAAAAAAAAAAAAAAAAAAAAAAGAATGGGAATATGTGTATGCCTAAGGGATTTACTTAAGGTTCATTGACCCTACAATTAAATTTAAAATTTAATTTAATATTAACATACTTTAAGAGAATGATGTGATGCCTTGATTTCATTGTCGTATGAATGTTATAATGATATGTTTTTATGACAGTTTATATTCTCACTAATATGGTGTTTTCTAGGCTCCAAGCCATGTGTACGGTGGACATAGTAGTCATGTAACTAATGTAGATTTTCTCTGTGAAGACACCCATCTCATCTCCACAGGCGGAAAAGATACAAGTATTATGCAGTGGCGAGTCATTTAAAGGAAACATCAGTGTGAACATACACAGTTGAGTCGACCATGCACAGAACTTATGTATAAACTGTATATTTAAAACTTAACAGTATGTTTGCAGTTTAGCCTGGTCACTGTGATTTTTGTTTAAAAAATTCTTACAAACCTCAGGAAAATTAAGCCCTGTGCTGGTTACCTTACTCAGTCTAGTGATTTTTTGTTTTCATTGTGTCACCTTTAAGAATGCTCGTTTTCTCTTCTGTTGTACAATATACAATGCAGTACAAGTTTAATATAAGAAATGTGGCTTGACAGTTTGCAATACGGCGGTATCAGCAGAATGTGACTATCTTAAATGTTTCCTATAAACACTGCTAAAATGGTCACAAAAATGCCTTTCAAAGACTGTATATATGTGCTTATTTGTTTCACTATCTACACTTTGTACTGTATATCTACTTATTTAGAAAAATCTATGACAATGTCGAGGTACCAAATTGTTTCTGGTGGAGGATGATGAATAGATACAAAAAGTATAAACCGAGATGTAAGATGCAAAAATTAGTGTTCTAGACCTGAAAATGTGAATGCTGGTAAATTTGCATTCTCCTGGGAATAGCACACCTTGGGTGTCACCCGTGAGGAGTTGTGTTCCTTTTCAAGTGAATCAGCAGGTTATGCCCCAGTTTGACCTGAATATCTCAGCAGGGTTTAGGGTTTACAGATGTCTATGTGGTTCAGGTATTCCATATGAGTTTAAATTAAAATTCTTTTTACTTGTATATGAACAATTTCTTTTTGAAAACAAAACAAAAAAGCTTGGCCACATCTCCATTATTGGTTGATATATTTAACTAATATGTATATTAATCAGCATGATGCTATATTGTACATGTATAAGATTTTAGCAGTTCATAACAAATGGTAAGGCCATCTAGCTTTACTTTTTTATGCTTATGGATATTGTATATTTGTATTTTAAGACCAAGTAGACCAAGTCTAAAGATATCTTTTTAAGTGTACCATAAACCTGCAGAGGGTAAAGGAAGTCTTGGAAGCCTACATGAGATATTAATGTGTAACTTCTGGCCCCTGTGTTTTGTGCATGGATGGATATTTATAGTATGAAATAAGATTGTGTTTTGCAATGAAGTAATAGTGGAGGTGGTATAAAATGGTTAAGAAGGCCTTATCAATGTTGATTGTGACACAGATTGAAATGTATTGTTTACTTTGAGGAATGTATCTGAAGAATTTTAAAAGAGAGGAGTTCTAAGCGGACTCGAAAAAGGTAATATTAAAATTTTGCTTGTAATGGACAGTAAACGTTAATTCTCTGAACTCTAAAGCACTGGTTGTTTAGAGTGATTTAAATGAAATGGAATCGATAAATTTTGAAACTTTTTTATTACATCTCCAACCTCCTACACTGAAAGTGCAGGACACCAATAAACATGTATTAAAGTGAATTTTAATGCATTCTTCCTGTTTAGTAAAATATCTTTGTTTCAACGTGAAATACTTCTAGAAGAGACAGGCTTTTACTTAACGACATGCATTTGTGATTTCTTGATTAAAGCTGCATTTGAAAATATTTGGGAATAAAATCTAGATTTTGGGGTACATAATTTCATGCGTGAGCATGACCCTGTGAATGTGATCCCTAATGCACACCTAGAAAGTCAAACTCCAGCTTCACGGCAGGGAAGAAGGACACGCCACATGCTTTCACCTACAAACTGCCTTGGTTCTGCCTCCTAGTACACATCACTTATCCCTGAGCGCTCAGCTGGTGGAGGAGTGGCATGCTGGTGGCATTCCACTGCACATGGCAAGAGCTCCTGAGAATTTCTCTGTGTTAGGAATTTGTCCTCAGGCAAGACGTTTGAAGGCCAGGGTTTCGGGGTCACTTTAACCTGATGTTATCTCGCACTGTCTCTGAAGGAAGAGGTCTTGCCCCCAGCTGTTTATTCCCATCTCATGCAGCAGCACGAGAGTTATTGTGGCCATAGGGAGAACCCAGCTGGGAGAACCCAGGTTAAAAAAAAATGCCAAGCGAGCAAATAACAGCTACTGCAAAACAGCAAATCCTTTTTCTCAGTTTTCTCATCTGGTTTAGCTGTGCAGCTGTGTGAATGCTTGTACTGAGCTTGTACAGAGGCAGGAGCAATGTGGAGAAGTGGTACATGGACAGAGGAGCACTGGAACGACTTCTTTTGACGGCGATGTCAGGCTCCCTCTGTTTGAAGTGTGTGAAACTAAGGCATAGTATCCCTACCCTTTCTAGGGTTAATCCAATCCTAAGAGGTCATAATACGCCAGTGAGAAATTCTTATCTTGTCTGAATACTTGGTTGATTATGCCGCGACACCTTCTGTTTGGTTTTTTTTTTTTTTTGCTTTTGCAGACGGGGTGCTTTCAGGTTTTCTGCTTTCAGAATTGGAGGTGATTTGTCATTACTTGCAGCAGAGAAAACAGGAGTTGCAATTTGGATTGGCTCATTCCCTTTTCATCCTTCTCCCACGGTGGTAGTCTTGGGATGTAATAATGTATTTGTGATCCCCTTCTTCATTTTAAACTATTATCCTTTACAAGAAATAGATGAGGAATCTTGCAAGTTCATCCCCAGGGTTACTGATCAAAGGGGATTTTCAACAATCCCATCCCATCTGTGCCTCTGCTGCTCTTCTGTTTCTAACTCTTGTTGTTAAATGTGTCTTTGTTCCTCTATGAAAACCTGATAAGCATATTAGCTGAATTGGCAAATGGTGGGTAACGTCTTGAGCCAAATATCCGTTTGATGACTGTTAAAGTGATTCTTCTTTCTTTATCCAGGAAATTCTACACAATTTCACCATTGTTATATATAATCTTCAGCTCTCCCCACTTCCAGCCTTGGTTCTTGCGTTTATTTGTTTTCTCAGCAGCGTCCTCTTTTTTGCTTTAAAAGAACAAAAAAAAAAGGAAACAAAGAGTTATTCCTGAACTTTGCGTATTTCATTCCCTCAGCAGCACCCAGGACTCTTACCTGATTCCTTCACCTGATGCTGTGTCTGCAGCAGTTGTCTTTTCCTGCCCTTCCACGGAGCGTAAAGCTGGTTCTCAAGTCCGTGGCTGGAGTTACGGCCAGGCTTCTGCTCCTTCCCTCCCCTGATCTTGGCTGCAGCAGGTGTAGCGTTGCTCAGAAAAGAGACTCATCTCTTCGTGTCTCTTGTGTGTTGCTGTCGTCTGCCAAGCATTCAGCTACTGCCTTTCAACTTTCTTCAGTTTCAATTCCTGTTTCTTGCTTTTCTTCCCTTCATTTCCAGCATTGCTCTTCTGTGACTTCAGTGTCCAGGACTGTATCCACCTTAGCCCATACCTGCACATATTGCTGCCCTTAACTGCTTATGAAACCAGTGGCCCTGACTACCTCTCTGATCGTTTTGGGGCTGAGTTCCTGGTTTCTTACTGTATCTGTGGCCACGCTGCTTCTTTGACTTGAACTTAGCATTTTGAGTGACTTTGCATCTACTTTTAGCCCCTTCCTGCCTGCCCTCCTGCCCTCCTTGTATGAGTGTACCGAGGCGATCAACAGTGTCTCATTTCTCGATTGTCCTCCGTTTGTCTGCGGGCAGCCCTGTAATGTATATCACATACTTAGATTTTAAAATCTTTTAAAAGTTTTTAGGGTAGGGATTTTTTTTCTCTGTTGTGGTATGGCATTTAGCAATGGGGTTTGGTGATCCTACACTCACTGCAACAGTACGACTGTCATATTTGTCCAAAATGATGAGCACGTATAGCCCGGTAACACTTCTGTGTCAGGATATTCGAAGTGATTAGCTACTGAAATTGATAATATCTGTTTTCTAAGTCTTAAATTATTCAGAAAACAATACATATGCTTTCAAAAGACTTCTTCCTCCCTCTTCTATATGCTTATAAAACAAGCATAGACTTAATGTGGTTTTTAGGATCATCGCCCATATTCAAGTAGAGGCTTTTCATTATTTTGTTTACCTCTCCTGCCTGTTTTCACATATTTATTTTACTCCTAAAGGACACATATTTTTATTATATCAAAACTACAGCCTTTTTCAACTTAATTTGTAGGTATGATTTGAATTACTATCTGAAAGATGATTATTACATAGATACTTCTGGTAGTGCTCGGTTTTGACAGGTTGTTGAAACCTGACAGGTATTAACAATTTCCAAAAGATGAGCTCTACAAAAATCAGTCACTGTATTAAAAAAAATAAAGTAAAAAAACAGCGAAGAAAGGAGATAAATGTAAGAGAAAGTAAATAGTTTTTCAATGCTCGTGAATTAAAAACACCCCACCATTTCAAATTATTAAAAAAATCCTCTCACAAAGCAAATAATTTTTGTAAAATGGATTTTTACTATTCTAATCAAGACAAGGTCATATTTCCTATGTGAAATGTTTGGATTAAATTTGTTCTTCAAAAGAATTAATATTAGAAGGTATTATTTCCCTTCAAAATTCTTCGTGTGACAGAGCTTGCAAGGGCAAACAGACCCTTTTTCGCAAGGGTTGGTATTTTTTGTTTCTTCAGGTTCTGCTCAGAGAAGCAGGCGGTCTTTTTGTTGTGTTTTCTCCTCCGTCCCTGGAACGAGGGCTGTTGACAGATCACTCGACTGCTTCTTCTAAAATTCTACAGATGGCAGGGAAAATGTCACTTTAATTACTAGTGAAAAGAACAGACTTACGAGAAGCCTAAACAGAAATCTTTTTCTTCCATTACTGGCCGGGATTCATAGCTGCGCTGGAGCGGTCTGATCGGTGCCATGCCGCTCTCGCGCTGCACGGGCTGCCCTTCAGAAGAGCTGCCCCAAGCCAGAGCATCTCCCGGCCCAAAAGATGGGAGATAAGGAACCGACCCCTGAGGGGAAGGACAGAATGGCACCCAGATCTGTCTGCTCCTGGACGGAGGCTGCTGGCTGCCGGATGAGTGAGTACATTAGCGGTTCACGCTCCTGCTGGGAGAGATTTATGTTTCTCCTGAGTCATGCAGTTCTGCGGCAATTTCATTGTTCTTAATGGAACAACTTCGGCCCCTGAATTCATTAAATAATTATAGAAGACTAAGAGATAATTTACATGGAGGTATTGATGACAGTTCAGCCAAAGCTGCCATCTAGCACTAGGCTTGGTAGACATTATTTCTGACAGTGGTGATACCAACGGGCTCATCTGTGAAAGCCGCTCAGGGGACCTTTGTCAATCAGGATGATTCACAGCGTTGTGGGTTCCCCTTGGTCTCCTGCCAAATGTGGAAGTGTAGGAAGGTGCCTCCTTCCGACAGAGCCTCTACGCTGTTAGTGTCACCAGACTCTGTAGGCACTTCTTTGGACCTTGCATTTTGTCTGTGTTTTTATGAAAGCTTGAGGTCTTGGACTCCATGAAAAGTGGTTCCTCTCCACCAGCTCCACAGTCCCAACTTAGCACAGGTTTGTTTTTACCATCTTTTGGCTATCTACAAACTACTTTGAATTAATTTAAACATTTCCATTCACTTGTAGTGGACATATCTGTACCTTAAAGGATGCCTCTAGTCTGAGGTGCTGAGGTTATAACCATGAGAATGGTGACCTGTTTTCTGGGTCTCCGCGCAAGTGAACGGGTTTTTAGCATGA